GTGTGTGGTGTGGAACCCAAAAATCTCTTGGCTGAGCCCAGAGATGCTCCTCAGGGGAAGGTTAAGGGCTTTGGGGTGGTGGGAAGGATGGAAAGAGTCCTACACAGCCCTTAGAAATACAGATGTTCAAAGAAACCCCAAATCTTTTTCCATCACCTTGGAGACAGGAGCAAAACCTGGTTTGGGGGAAATTTGGGGAGTTTTGGGGACGTGGAGGGAATTTAGGGGAAAGCAGAACATCTGCAGTGGTTATTTGTGTATGGAAAGTTCAGGATTGGTGCCTTTAAGGAGTGGGATGTGCTGAGGAAGTATTTTTTTGGTGTATTTTTGGAAAAATCCAGGTGATTTTTGGAACACTGACCAAGCAGCTTCTGGAATCATCTCCCACACAGGCATACTCCCAAACTATTGACATCTCCAAGCCAAAAAACCCCTAAATATTAAAAAGAACTACAAAGCCTGCTGCCATACCCTCCAAAACTGAGAGAACTCTTCCCCCTTGCCTCAAAAATCCCCCCAAAAAGGGGCAGTTTGGGGATGGGTGAAGAAGAGACTTGATCACCTGCCAAAATCCTCCCCAAAAGTGGCCCTTGGGGGATGGTCTTAAAACCACCCTGCTTGGCAGGGACCTCCAGGATCTCTGAGGACCTTCAGTGTGGGTTGGAGTGGAGTCTGTTTGATATCTTTATCTAGGAAATGTCCCTCCCAACGATTGTTAGAAGCATTTTTTGGGGAGGAGGGGCTGTTCTGGGGCTGCTTGGTCCCATTCCCTCACTCCCTGCGTGGCGGGGGAAGGAGCAGCAGTGAGGTGAGGAGTGAGGAGCTACAGGTTGAGGGGGTTTTTTCTCATCTCATCCACACCAACCCCATCCCTGGAGCTTTGTTTCCTTCTCCAGGCTGGGTTTAAACACCCTCCAGCAGCAGAGAGGAGGAAATTCTCCCACCCTGAGCCACGAGAGCTGAGGATAAACCCCTCACGGGGCGTCAAATTCAGGCTGCAGAGCTCCAGGAGCTGAGCTGCCTCCTCCCTTCTGCCTCTGTGAAAGCTTAACCAAGTTTTTTGACCACATCTTTTTTCTCTCCTAGCTCTGACTGATCCCAGGAGCTACTACCTGTCCTGTGTGTGGAGTTTCATCTCCCTCAAGTGGGGGTTCCTGCTCAGCCTCTACGCTCACCGCTACCGCGCCGAGTTCGCCGACATCAGCATCCTCAGTGACTTCTGACACTTCAAACCCCCCCTCCCTAGAGGGGCTGGAGCTTTGCCTTGAGCCCCTCCAAAAAGCTGTGGTAGGAGAGGAAGAGGAGGAACCCACCCAGTGCTGCTCAGTTGCTCTGCAGTAGGGGTTTGGCCTCGTTGCTTTTACTCGAGCCTGTAAAATTTGGTTGGTGATGCCCTTGATCTTGTCTCTTGACTTCCCAACGTCTGGTGGGGAGGTGAAAGACTCCACCTGGTACCACACAACAGGGTCCAGGTCCTCTCCTCGTGTTGTCCCAAACCTTTGGGGCACCTCCCAGGCCCTTCCAGGAGCTGTGGGGGTCATACCTGGAGGATGCAGCACCCCAACAGCATCTCCTGCTGGGGGCTTCACCAGTTTGCTCCAGCAAAGAGCTCTGCTGGGGGGAAAGAGAAGAGGACACCCCCTCCTTCCAGCCAGCACCCCCCACCTTCCAGCATTCTCCTTCTCCACGTGACACCCGAGGTCCTGAGCTCTGCAGGATGCTGCTTCTCTCCACTCTCCAGCCTCTCTTGACAGAAGGACTTAAAACCTGGTCTGACCCTCAGATTTGCAGCCTGGGGAGTTGGGTGTGGGGCTGAAAGGTGCCCTGGAAGAAGGGGGAAGCTCTGCAGGAACAGGAATGGGATTCTCCTAAAAGAAAAAAAGACCCCAACAAATCTGCTGGTGGGTGGTGCTGAGTTTCCTCTTCTTGGCTCAGCCTCCCTGGAACCAGCAGGGGTGTGGGACAGGAGGAGACAGGGGGGTCTGAGAGGAGGTGGGTGGCTGGAAAAAGGAG